TTGATGGTTAAATCATTACAATGCTATATACTAGTATTTATTCTATCAATAATTTAATTTTGGATGTAAGGCGTCTTCCGATTGGCTGACGTTGTTTTGTTTATCAGCTCATAGACATAAGTTTGTCATGTGACCTTAACGTCATCAACGTTTTTTTCATGATTTACTCCGGTTTAAAATGGAATTAAGAATTAAATTATAAGAAATGACTGTAATATTTTTCTGTCTATTCGAAATAACATAAAAAATGTGGTGCACACTTTAAAATAACCCGCTACACTACTTTTACAGTCATTCCTTAAATATCCCGATTTTTGTGGTGATATGCAAAGTGTTAAGTCGGACTCTTCATCGACCGGGCTTTAGAAAATACCAGACACGCGCAAACTATGAAGAAATTGAGAACACTGCTCGTCTTTTGAATCCCTCGATGATACCAAATCTTGCATGATCCTTTATATCAAAATACAGTAATGCTAACCACGGTTCTCTGAAAGTATGCTGATTGGATTTCAGTCCGGTCGGAACATCGATAGTTCCCAGAGAAATTGTGAATACAAACTGCGTGATTGGTTGGAAGATTTTGAACAATATTTCTATATTGTTCACTTTGCCATTTAGCTCTATTTTGATGAGCCGGAAAAGTTTCAAGTAGTGATTTGAAATGGTAAAACATTTCGCCAAGTTTTGTTTTTTTACCAACTAACATAAGTTTTGTTCTTGTTTTTCTGCCTTTTACGTTTATTTCAGTGTATTCAAATATTTCCCATTTAATGTCGCGAGCATTTTTAGATGTGTCTAGTTCATTGTCGTGGAAGGACAATTTTTCAACTTCGCATTCTTTGCAAGAACGATTTAAACACTGTGCGTGCGGTGCAGTACTGGTCTTATCACATAAAGTTTCAGCACATATGTCATTTAAATGTTCAAAATCTGGTAAGTTATCTTGGATCAAGTCTAGATTACTTGCATGTAAATTTTTCCTAAATTCCATACATTTCTTAAAAAGAACTCAAACCTCTATATGCTGCCGACAACAACATGTATTGCGATGTTTTTGTTTAACTGGCATCACGAAAACGGCTTGTAACTTTCAAACAAACGTTGTGATATTTTAAAATCTGGATACTTGGCTTTAAAATCTAAAAACACTTCAGTTTGCGTTTTTTCGAGCAGATGTATTTGATGCGAAACATATTCATTAGGCCCTATCCGTGAGCGTTTCACGTCTGTCTTGTTAGAACTTGTGCGCGAAACCGTAGGGGATATCAAGAAATCATAAGCCTGTTTTTTATGTTTCATCAGAAGTAATGTCAGATCTTGTTTTCCTCTTTGTGAATTCGTAACAAGAATTTTTCGGATCTCAAAACAGAAGTGCGAATTCTTTGACCACCAGAAAGTCGCCGCGGCTGCAATCCCAACTTACACGCTGCTTTGCTTTTATCTCCTTTTGAAATTTTTTAACCGCTGACAGAAGCCGATATTACATGTATAGCATTACGTGCATCAGAATTTCGTTTCTGTTTTGTTTCATGTATGAATCCCTTCATGTTTTCTAAGACCTTTTCAGAGAGAGATGGACTCTGTCGTTTTAAAGATTGTTTTGCTGTTGGTGACACACACATATAGTGTTGTAGTATAGCTTGTTTTTTACTTGGAGTTGATGGCAGAGCGTCCTTAAGCCTTTTCAGTGCCCTGCATTTGGCCATCTCATTTTTAAATATTGCATTTCGAATTTTCGCCATTTTGATTATTTATTTGTCTTACATTTTGCAATTCTTCTTTTCTGCAATTAACATTTTACCTATTTATTGACAAATTACCATATTTTTTATTTTAGAGATCTAGAATTATCTATTTTCTTTTTGTTAATTACTACTGGTATATATTTTTTCCTTTGCAGTTGTTATCTTCGTTTCTATCATAGCCGTATAAAGTTATTTCGATACTTGAACAGTTTGCGAAATTTATAAGTTGATTATTCTGTTTTGTCCTCTGATCTTTACATGAAATCGAACCGTACTTGTTATTTGAAAACAATTGAATATCGTTCATATATTATATGAGAATACTTAGAATAAAGCAAAGTGCTCTCGACCAATGAAAGTGTAGGATTTGGTGTTTCTTAATAGTGAAGAATGAATGTAAATCATGTTCTTAGTAAGGGATTATCCTATTGTTTAGGTCTACTTAAAGTTCAACACAAAGAGTTTCTATGAATGAGTTACAACTGCCCCGAAGACATTTATCAGATTGAAAGGATTTATCACACTGACTAAAAGTTGAAATGCGAAACAAACAAAAAAATCAAAATAAGTTAAAGTTTACAGGTGCAGTAAAATTGGTACCTTTACTGTTTTTATGAAAATAATGAAATCTGAGTATTTGATTTTAAAGCCGGAACAAAATATTGGCTGTGAATTAAAATTAGTTGTTACTCAAATGTATTTATTGATTTAAACTGTAAATTAAAAAAAAAGATTATTCCTCACTTAAATATTACATGATTCACATTCATACTCACAATCAAGAAACATATACAATTCATAATTTTTCTTTGTACGGTTGTGTCACCTAATGTCTATAACGCATTTTGAAAAATATTTCCCAAATTATAAGAAAGTCCTGACATCACTAAAACTAATCCATAAATGAAATGCCTAAAAAGGAAATCATGCATTAATTATAAACATTGTACTGACAATGAAACTAATTCTTGAATACAACCAATCAAGAGATCATTTGAGCCTTGAGCACTTTACAATATTCTAAGTTTGTAAGAGAATGATAATCCCTTACTTCATGATAAGTACTCGCTAACGCTCGTACTTAATCATGAAGAAAGGGATTATCATTCTCTTACATGTACGAAAAGCTTTCGATTTCGATGGCCTCGGAGGGTTAGTGGCCTAAGGGGTTCATATAAAGTGATCACGAGCCTGCCGATTTTAAAATACGCTCGTGGCGAAATTTGTTCGACTCCGTCTTAACTGAAGTTATTGTCAGTTATCTAACTAAAGGTCGCCTGATGTCCGGCTTCCTCCACCTATGAAAACAGTTCGATAAAATACAACCAAGGTCGTTTATAGTGGCGTTAAACACCAAAACACAAAAGAAACAAACATTTAGATTTAATTTGAAAAGACATAGCGTCCCGAATTGACAACGTTCAAAACGTAAGAAAATTGTTAAGGGGACAAACTTGCAAGACATTGGATTTGTTAAAAAACGAAGTCGTTTCGAATTAACAACTTATCAAAAAGTATGTAACTGTTTTGTGGGGTTAAAGTATAATTACGGAAAAGAACTATTTTGTATGCTACAAATCGAATATTCTATTAAATGACGTCGAAACTGACAGTTTACTTGTAAAAAACGGCGAAATTCGACATTGGACATTCTTGCAAGACATTTGCCCGAAGCCAATGCGGTTTTTTTTGTGGTGTTAGTGCTGTAAAAAAACGGATTTGAAATGGTCTATCTATGTACTTTTGCGAGAATAATTTATGAAAAAAAATTTCATATCATCTTATATTTTAAAAAGCCATAACTTTTGATAACTTACCATTTTCCGAAATCTGACCATGGTGAAGATTATTCATTTTGGAAAAAATCAGCTTAGACCGTTGCATCAACGCAAAAATCAAAAATGACGTCATAAATTATATATGATGTTTATCATTCATGCGAATTTTCGCGGATTTTATACTCTTTCTATAAAAGCACAAAAACTCCTGTAAAAGTTATTATGCGTATACGTCTGACACGCATATTTTTTACGTTTTGCAAATATTTGTATCCTTATTTTAAACTATTATGAAGAGTTATAAAACAATTTATTATCTTTTTGGAAACAGTAATACCTGCCTAGTCTATGGATATACATTTAATAAAGCTGTTTATCCGTGTGCTCTGTCGGATTTCACGGTATTGACGCATTAACGTGCTTAACGTCTGAGTCATCAAAACAAGGAAACATAAACAAACGATGATAAAATGTGTTATAAGCTTATTTTATTTTTTACATATAAGTAAAATTATCATTAAAATTCATCTAAACCTATCTGAATACGTTATTGTAAATAGTTTAAACATGTCACTAGTTCAGTTTGCTCCGTTCTTTTACGTCAATATATTTATGGGAACGGCAAATGTTTGCCTTCACCTAGAGCGCTTCGATCTAAAAGAATTGCCGTATTTGTCCTATTAGAATAGAAATAATTTATGGGGGCTTGAATTTATACTGATTTTACCACGGGTTTGCCCTTTATGCCGATATTTTACCCCTCGCTATCGCTCGTGGTAAAATATTTAGCATAAAGGGCCAACCCGTGGTAAAATCAGTATAAATTCAAGCCCTTTATGCCGATATTCTATATAGTCTTTGGAAAAATAGATAGCAACAACCATACCCCAAAATAATACATCTGGTAGCAAAATATATTTTTGGGTTAGCTGTTGCTCATATTTAAATATTGATGACAAGATATCAAAATGAGGCTATTTTGGCAGCTTATGTAGTTTGCACTACATCCCAAAAGTTTGAAGCCATAATTTAAATTTCTAAGACAAACATTCACAACTATGAAATGTCGATGTCAGACGGAACAAATGTCTTATCAAATCTGAAAAACGTTATTTGGTCGATTTATGATTGTTTTTCCTTTTCAAATATTGATCAATGTGAATCGAATCCATGTCCAAATAGAGGTACTTGTAATGATGAAATCAATATTTGTGTTAATATTGTCATGGATATACTGCGGGGAAATTGTTCCATAAGTATGTAAGTTATTTAGCATAGATTTTTTAACGATGTTCTCCATAAAGATAAAAGGTAGATAGAGGATTTATTGTTCTTAATAATACTGTTTTTATTTTGATCGAATTTACCAATTTTTGAATGTCACAAATTGACTGTATTATATAAAAACATCATTTTAGATATTGATAAATGTCAACTTGATCCATGTCAGAATGGAGGAAAATGTAACGATACGATGCACGGATACTCTTGTGAATGTGTCCCAGGATATACGGGGGAAAATTGTTCCACAAGTAAATTATTGATTTAGTGTCGATGCACGAATTGAAACCTATTTCGTTTGTACCTTGAAAAGTAATCCACTTAAAGACAAATACATCGCGATATTTTTAATTTTTCTAATATAAGATTCAGCTGTCTAAACGTTGTACATTCAGGACTTTGATATTCAATGATTTAGTTGTACTTGCATGTCCAAAATAGTTAAACGTTTTCGTAGATACGTATACATAGACATCTAACAAAAAATAAGAAAAATAAAAAAAAAAAAAAAACACAACAATTAATGCGCCGTACATTTTGCTGTGTTGGGTTCTTGTATTCGAAGTGTCATTGAGTAATGAATTGAAACAAGATGCTATTTTTAAAATCATCTAATATCGGCAAAAATAATGAGAAATGTTGAAGTTGAATCAGGTTAACTCTGAAAGGTGTTTTCAAATGATATCAAAACAGTGTTAACAATGTGCAATGAATAGATAACTGCAGAAAATAAAATTCCACCGCAAGGGGGGTAAGTTCATGAAGGTTAGATTTGGCTTTATCTTTTTAATGTTTTATCTGCGGTCCAAATTGTACATATTTCACAACACATAGTTGTTATAATACTTTCATACAATAAATTTTATTGTAGCACTTTACATTACAAATAACGAAGTTATGTTCCTAAATTTTAACATCAGTTTGGTCCGATTTTTCAACAATTTATTACAGTGTTTCGCATAATTTACTTGGCTGCACACGTAATCCGGAATTGTTTTAGTCTTGTGATTCAATATAAACCTTGGCACCTTTTAGTTGAAATACATTTTGGATCGGAAATTGCGGCCAAAATTTTTCTTACATCGTTTAGGTAGAAACAGCACTTATTCACCGTATTTTGACAATAACCAAATTCTGCTGACATTGGTTCCTATAATGTACACTTATGAAGCCATTTCTTATAGACAGAAAGGACCAGATTGTGGCCTTTGGATATTTTATGATCAAATTGAAATTAAAGGCCATATTTTGCCAAATGTGAATCTTGTAATTTCAACCCTTATCCAAAATTACCATTTTTTCCCAGTGGCAATCCAAATTTTTCCTTTTAACACAACAGTTCCACCTTACAGACCCCACTCATCATATCAATTGTCGATAGGTTCATGTCCTGTATTTAAATGAAGTAATTGCCACTGCCCGTTAAACAATCAACAATGAACCAATCTTTAAATCAAATTCAATCCACTCAAAAAAATATTGTTAAACATCAGTGTATTTATTTTAGATATTAACGAATGTCAATCGGATCCATGTCAGAATGGAGGAAAATGTGCCCATGCAATTAATGGATACTCTTGTCAATGTGTACCAGGATATACAGGGAAAAATTGTTCCACAAGTAAGTTATTGATTTACTGTCGATGCACAAATGGGCAAATTATTTCATAAGTATTTGTCTCTTTCGTACATTCAAAGTAATCCATTGAATGATAAATATATCGGGATATTTGTAGTTTTCTCTAATGTAAGATTAAGCTGTTAACTGTTGTAAATTTAAGACTTTGAGATTCAATGATTTATTTGTACTTGGATTTCCAGAATAGTAAAATCTATTCGTACATACGTACATAAAACAAAAAAGAAATTAATGCGCCGTACATTTGCCTGCGTTGTGTTCTTGAATTCGAAATGATTTTGAGCAATGAACTGAAACACATTTTTTTTTAGAATTAAATTGGCTTCAATAAATAATTGGCTCCAACATTTAAGTTTTATTTCTAAGTACTAAATCGTACAAATTTCACAAGAAATATATGTTATATTATTCTTAATAATATTAATTTAATTTTATCACTTTACATTACAAATATCGAAGTTATTACCCCTACATTGTGTATAATGTATGTGTAACGTCAGTTTTGGCCCAATCTGTTTACAATTTATTACAGTTTTTCGCATAATTTACTTTGGTCGGAAACGTACTGCGGAATTGTATGTATCTTAGGATTCAACAAAATTTTGGCATATGAATAAACCTTGAACGAATCTATCCCATCGAACTTGAAATGAATAATACAACAGATAGAGTAAAGTCTGCCTGATATCTTGACTAAACCCTAGAAATTGATAACGAGGGTCGGTTGAGAACAATACTTTACGACAAAAGAGATGATTTCAGCTTCCCAATTGTGAACATTTCATTTCTATGTAGCAAAATTGCAGCAGCACCTGCGTATAGAGTATATATCTCCTAGTTGTAACGATATTCCATAGCTTGCATTTCCTATGATGATTTCCTTGACATAGGGTTGCTGCTTGAAAGGAGTCTATTGAAGCAAGAGTTCTAAGTGGTAAAGTTGAAATCATTCCTTCGAAAATTTGACACACCGAGTTTGTTGACCGTTATGGAATATCTGTTTCACAGATGACGACAGATATGTTCCAATTATTGGAACCACAATCCCGTCCTCTTTTCTTCAAAGGCGACATACTGAAATAGACTTATAACTGGATTTGTGCCACATTTGGAGCAGTATCTGCTCACCTTCCGGAGCACCTGAGATCACTGTTAGTTTTGTTTTAAAGGGGTTCGTGTTGCTCTTGTTTTTTTTTTAAGTGTTGTTCTTTGCTTCGTACTTTTTAAATTTTTTTCAATGTCTGTGTTGTTTTTACCAGTCTTGTCTATCCTTTGTCATGAAAAACGTTTCAATTTCAAAATTTTACACTTGGAGAAGTTGCGGGGTTAGAAAATTTACATGACCGATGGTTTACGAATTTGGTGATGTCTTAGGGTTAGATAAGAGTCGATTACCAATCCTCTATTAGGTGCTGACTACTCACGTGATATCTCTTATCAACATAAGTTACAGGAGTAACACGGCGGTAGTCATTTGTGGAGCAGGATCTGATAACCCTTCCGGATAACCTAAGATCACGGCAGTTTCTGGTGTGAATCAGTCTTTAGTATTTTATACTGTGTTTGTGTTCTGTTGTTTGTCTTTTCGTCGTTTATCGTTTTTATACCATGGTATTGTCAGTTTGTTTTCGACTTATACGTTTGCATATATATTGGTATCTATCGCCTCTCTTGGCACTTTTTGGTCAAAATACATTTTGGATCATAGGTTGCGGCCAAGATGTTCCTAGACCGTGTGGTAGAAACATCACTTAATCACCATATTTCGACAATATTTCCAAAATCTGCTGATATTGGTTTTAAAATAACCATTCTTTCCTAGTTGCAATCCAAATTTTGCCTTTCAACACAACCGTGTCACCTTACAGACCCCACTTATATCAATTGTTGATAGGTTCATGTCTTCTATTTGAATGAAGTAATTGCCACTGGTCGTTAAACAATCAACAATCAACCAAACTTTAAACCAAATTCAATCCACTAAAAAAAATAATGTAGAACATCAGTGTATTAATTTTAGATATTAACGAATGTCAATCGGATCCATGTCAGAATGGAGGAAAATGTACCGATGCAATTAATGGATACTCTTGTCAATGTGTACCAGGATATGCAGGGAAAAATTGTTCCACAAGTAAGTTATTGATTTAGTGTCGATGCACGAATGGGCAAATTATTTCATAAGTATTTGTCTCTTTCGTACATTCAAAGTAATCCATTGAATGATAAATATATCGGGATATTTGTATTTTTCTCTAATGTAAGATTAAGCTGTTAACTGTTGTAAATTTAAGAATTTAAGATTCAATGATTTATTTGTACTTGGATTTCCAGAATAGTAAAATCTATTCGTATATACGTTCATAAAACAAAAAAGAAATTAATGCGCCGTACATTTGCCTGCATTGTGTTTTAATACGAAGTGATTATGAGCAATGAATTGAAACACGTTTTTTATATTAACAAAAAATTGGCCCAAACATTTTAGTGTTATTACTAAGTCCTAAATCGTACAAATTTCACAAGAAATATGATATATTACTTTTAATAATATTTATTTAATTTTATCACTTTACATTACAAATTACGAAGTTATTACCCCTACATTGTGTATAATGTATGTTGTAACGTCAGTTTTGGCCCAATCTGTTAACAATTTATTACAGTTTTTAACATAATTTACTTTGGCCGGAAACATACTGCGGAATTGTATGTGTCTTAGGATTCAACAAAATCTTGGCATATAAATAAACCTTGAACGAATCTATCCCATCGAACTTGAAATAAATGATACAACAGATAGAGTTAATTTCGCCTGATATCTTGACTGAAATCTAGAAATTGATAACGAGGGTCGGTTGAGAACAATACTTTACGACAAAAGAGATGATTTAAGCTGCCCAATTGTGAATATTCCATTTCTATGAAGCAAAACTGCAGCAACACCTGCGTATGGAGTATATATCTCCTAGTTGTAACGATATTCCAGAGCTTGCATTTCCTATTATGATTTCCTTGACATGGGGTTGCTGCTTGAAAGGAGTCTATTGAAGCAAGAGTTCTAAGTGGTAAAGTTGAAATCATCCCTTCGACAATATTACGGAATACACCCCGAGTTTGTTGACCGTTATGGAATATCTGTTTCACAGATGACGACAGATATGTTCCAATTGTTGGAACCACAATCCCGTCCTCTTTTCTTCAAAGGCGACATACTGAAATAGACTTATAACTGGATTTGTGCCACATTTGGAATAGTATCTGCTTACCCTTCCGGAGCACCTGAGAGCACTGTTAGTTTTGTTTTAAAGGGGTTCGTGTTGCTCTTGTTTTAGTTTTAAGTGTTGTTCTTTGCTTCGTACTTTTTAAATTTTTTTCAATGTCTGTGTTGTTTTTACCAGTCTTGTCTATCCTTTGTCATGAAAAACGTTTCAATTTCAAAATTTTATTCTTGGAGAAGTTGCGGGGTTAGAAAATTTACATGACCGATGGTTTACGAATTTGGTGATGTCTTAGGGTTAGATAAGAGTCGATTACCAATCCTCTATTAGGTGCTGACTACTCACGTGATATCTCTTATCAACATAAGTTATAGGAGTAACACAGCGGTAGTCATATGTGGAACAGGATCTGATAACCCTTCCGGATAACCTAAGATCACGGCAGTTTCTGGTGTGAATCAGTCTTTAGTATTTTATACTGTGTTTGTGTTCTGTTGTTTGTCTTTTCGTCGTTTATCGTTTTTTTACCATGGTATTGTCAGTTTGTTTTCGACTTATACGTTTGCATATATATTGGTATCTATCGCCTCTCTTGGCACTTTTTGGTCAAAATACATTTTGGATCATAGGTTGCGGCCAAGATGTTCCTAGACCGTGTGGTAGAAACATCACTTAATCACCGTATTTCGACAATATTTCCAAAATCTGCTGATATTAGCTTTAAAATTACCATTCTTTTCCAGTTGCAATCCAAATTTTGCCTTTCAACACAACCGTGCAACCTTACAGACCCCACTTATATTAATTGTTGATAGGTTCATGTCTTGTATTTAAATGAAGTAATTGCCACTGGTCGTTAAACACAAACTTTAAATCAAATTTAATCCATTAAAAAAAATATTGTTGAACATCAGTGTATTTTTTTTTAGATATTAACGAATGTCAATCGGATCCATGTCAGAATGGAGGAAAATGTACCGATGCAATTAATGGATACTCTTGTCAATGTGTACCAGGATATACAGGGAAAAATTGTTCCACAAGTAAGTTATTGATTTACTGTCGATGCACAAATGGGCAAATTATTTCATAAGTATTTGTCTCTTTCGTACATTCAAAGTAATCCATTGAATGATAAATATATCGGGATATTTGTAGTTTTCTCTAATGTAAGATTAAGCTGTTAACTGTTGTAAATTTAAGAATTTGAGATTCAATGATTTATTTGTACTTGGATTTCCAGAATAGTAAAATCTATTCGTACATACGTACATAAAACAAAAAAGAAATTAATGCGCCGTACATTTGCCTGCATTTTGTTCTTGAATTCGAAGTGATTTTGAGCAATTAATTGAAACAAGTTTTTTATATAGATTAAATTGGCTTAAATAAATAATTAGCTTCAACATTTTAGTGTTATTTCTAAGTACTAAATCGTACAAATTTCACAAGAAATATATGTTATATTACTTTTAATATTATATTAATTTAATTTGATCACACTACAAAGAACGAAGTTATTATCCCTACATTATGTATAATGTATGTTGTAACGTCAGTTTTGGCCCAATCTGTGAACAATTTATTACAGTTTTTAACATAATTTACCTTGGCCGGAAACATACTGCGGAATTGTATGTGTCTTGGAATTCAACAAAATCTTGGCATATAAATAAACCTTGAACGAATATGTCCCATCGAACTTGAAATAAATGATACAACAGATAGAGTTAAGTCTGCCTGATATCTTCACTTTGGTGTCTTTCGCCGCCCTTGTCACCTCTTGGTTGAAATACATTTTGGATCATAGGTTGCGGCCAAGATGTTCCTTAACCGTTTAGATAGAAATAAAAATGAGAATGGAAATGGGAAATGTGTCAAAGAGACAACAACCAGACAAAAGAACAGAAAACAGCACAAGGCCACCAATGGGTCATCAACACAGTGAGAAAATCCCGCACCCGGTGGCGGGCTTCAGCTGGCCCCGAAACAAAATTGTGTATTAGTTCAGTGAAAATGGACGTCACACTAAACTCCGAAACATATAAATGAACTAAAATTAAAAAATGCATGCAAGACTAACAAAGGCCAGAGGTACCTGACTTGGGACAGGCGCAAAAATACGGCGGGGTTAAACATGTTTTGTATGATCTCAACATCACTTAATCACCGTATTTCGACAATATTTGCAAAATCTGCTGCATTGGTTTCTTAAATATACCCTTATGAAGCCATTTGTTATACCTAGGAAGAACTATATGGTGGCATTTTTATATTTTATGATAAAGTTGAAATTCAAGGCCATATTTTGCCAAATGTGAACATTGTACGTTCTACACGTATCCTAACATTGCCATTCATTCCCAGTGGCAATCCAAATTTCGCCTTTCACCACTGCTGTGCCACCTTGTGGAACCTACTTAAATATCAATTGTAAATAGTTTCTGTCCTGAATTTAAATGAAGTAGTTGCCACTGGCAGTTAAGCACGCACCAATCAACCAATCTTTGAATTAAGTGAAATGCACTCAAAGAATATTGTTAAACAGCAGTGTATTTTTAGATATTAACGAATGTCAACCTGATCCATGTCAAAATGAAGGAAAATGTACCGATGTAATAAATGGATACTCTTGTGAATGTGTAACGGGATATACAGGGAAAAATTGTTCCACAAGTACGTTATTGATTTAGTGTCGATGCGAAATGGGCAACTTAGTTCATAAATATTTATCTCTTTTGTACATTCAAAGTAACCCATTGAAAGACATATACATCGTATTATTTGTAGTTTTCTCCAATGCAAGATTAAGCTGTCTAACCGTTGTCAATTTAGGACTTTGAGATTCAATGATTCATTTGTACTTGGATTTCCAGAACAGTAAAACTTATTCGTATATACGTACATGAAAAAAAAGAAAAACAAAAAACATCAAAAAACCATCAATTTATGCGCTGTACATTTGTCTGTGTTGTGTTCGTGAATTGAAGTGATTTTGAGCAATGAAATGAAACACGATGTGTTTTTAAAATTATATAAACAAAAATAATGAAAAATGTAGAAGTTGAATCAGGTTAACTGTGGAAGGTGTTTTCAAATGATATCAAAACAGTGTTGAGGATGTACAATGTATAGTTGAATGCAGAAAAAAATGCTACCGTAAGGGCTAGGGTCACGTAGCCTTTAAATTGGCTCCAACATTCAAGTGTTATTTCTTAGGCCTAAATCGTACAAAATTCACAAGAAATAGTTGTTATATTACTTTATATACAATCAATTTCGTTCTAGCGCTTTACATTACACATTACGACGTTACGAATATGTGACCTGTTAATAACGCATAATTTGTGTAGTAACGTTAGTTTTGGTCCAAATTTTCAACAATTTTATGCACTGTTACGGATATTTTACTTTGGCCACAAGCACAATCTGAAATGGTTTTGTGTCTTGGGATTCAATATAAACCTTGACATTTATGTATAAACCTTGAACGCATCTATTCCATCGAACTTGAAATGAAGAATACAACAGATACAGTTAATTCTGACTTAAATCTAGAAATTGAGAATGAGGGTCGGTTAAGAACAAAACTTTACGACAAAAGGGATGGTGTTCAGCTTCCCATTTGTGAACCTTCCAGTTTTATGTAGCGACATTTCAGCAGCAACTGCATATGGAGTACATATCTCCCAGTTGATACGATATTCCAGAGCTTTCATTTCCTATCAGGATATCCTTAATAGAGAAATGTTCTTACAAGGAAGTTATTGAACCAAGCGTTCCAAGTTGTGAAAGTGGAATCATCCTTTCGAAAATTTTACGAACGCCATTACGGGTTGATTAACCGTTATAAAACATATGTTTCACAGATGACGAAAATATGTTCCAATTGTTCTAACAACAATCCTGTCCTCTTTTGCTCGAATGTGACTGACCGAATTAGACGTATCACTGAATTTGTACTTATGTGAGCAACACAACGGGTGACACATGTGTAACAGGATATGCTTATCCTTTCCGGAGCACATGTGATCACCCATTGTTTTTTTCGTATGGGGTTCGTGTTAGTCTTGCTTTAGTTTAAAGTGTCTGTGTTGTTTTTACCGGTAAGTCTTGTCTATCCTCTGATATGAAAAGAGTTTCAATTTCAAAATTTTACACTAGGTCTAGTTTCAGAATTAGGAAATTTTCATGACTGATGGTTTTCGAATTTGGTGATGTCTTAGGGCTAGTCAATTTCCAATCCACTATTGTGCTTATCACTTGATATATCTTATCAACATAATTTATATGTTGGTTTTCTATGTTGTGTCATCTGTACTATTATTTGTCTGTTTGTCTTTTTATTTATGGCCATGACATTGTCAGTTTGTTTTCGATCTATGAGTTTGACTGTCCCTTTGGTATCTTTCGTTCCTCTTTTATAGGAGTAATACGGCGGTTGTCACATGTTGAGCAGGATCTGCTAACCCTCCCGGAGCACTTGAGATTACCCCTGTTTTTGGTGTGGTTCGTTTTAATCAGTCTTTAGTTTAATTCATTGTTGTGTTTTGTTTACTATTGTTTGATATTTCGTCGTTCATCTTTTTGCCATGGCATTGTCGGTTTGTTTTCGACTTAAGAGTTTGATTATCTCTTTGGTGTCTTTCGCCTCTCTTTGCACCTCTCTGTTGAAATACATTTTGGATCATATGTTGCGGCCAAGATTTTCCTTAACTGTTTAGGTACAAACACTACTGAATCACCGTAGTTTGATAATATCTCCAAAATCTGCTGACAATGGGGCCTATAATGTACTCTCCTAAAGAGATTTTAATGCACTGTAAATTTGCTTGTGTTGTGTCTTTGTATTCGAAGTTATTTTGAGCAATGAACTGAAACACGATGTGTTTTTCTGAATTATATTGGCAAAAATAATGAAAAATGTAGAAAATTAAATCTGGTTAACACTGGAAAGGGTTTTTCAATTGATACCAAAACAGTGTGGACGATTTGCAATGAATAGATGAATGGAGAAAAAAAAATGCCACCACAAGGGCTAGCATGAATGAGTTGATTTGCCTCCAACATCTTAATGTTACTTTTCAGGTCTGAATCGTAAAATTTCACATTGTTATATTACTTTTTATACAAAAAAATTCATTTTAACAATTTACATTACAAATTACGAAGTTATGACCCCTTATATTATGTATAATTTGTGTTATAATAATCTGGAATTGTTTGGGTCTCGGGATTTAATATAAACCTAATAAGCACCTTTTGGTTGAAACACATTGTGGTCAAGATTTCCCAAAACCATTTAGGTAGAAACTTAATCTCCGTATTTTGACAAAATCTGCTGACATTGAATCCTATCAGGTACTCTTATAAAGAGAGTGTTTTGTATACCCAGCTAGAAACAAATTGATACCTCTCTATATTTTATGATAAAGTTGAAATTGAAGGCCATATTTTGCCAAATGCAAACTTGTACTTTCTACCCTATTCACAAATTTCCATAGTTTCCTAGTGGCATTCCAATTTTTGCCTTTCACCACTGCAGTGCAACCTTTCAGAACCTACGTATACTTATTATATTAATTATTGATAGTTTCTTTTCCTTGATTCAAATTAAAAATGTTCACTGGCCGTTAAGCAAGCCATAATTAACCAATCTTTAAATCCAATTCAATGCACTCATAAAATATTGTTAAACATCTGTGTATTGTTTTTAGATATTAACGAATGTCAATCTGATCCATGTCAGAACGGAGGAAAATGTACCGATTCAATTAATGTATACTCTTGTCAATGTGTACCAGGATATACAGGGAAAGATTGTTCCACAAGTAAGTTATTGATTTCGTGTCGATGCACAAATGGGCAAATTGTTTCATAAATATTTGTCTCTTTTGTATATTCAAAGTAATCCATTGAAAGATGAATACATCGTGATATTTGTAGTTTTCTATAATGTAAGATTAAGCTGTCTTATCGTTGTAAATTAGATTTCCAGAATAGTAAAACCTATTTGTACATAAAAAACAAAACAGAAAAAAATACACTTCATACGCCGTACATTTGCCTGTGTTGGGTTCTTGTATTCGAACTGATTTTGAGCAATGAATTGAAACACGTTTTCTTAAGAATTAAATTGGCAAACATAATGAAAAATGTAGAAGTTGAATTAGGTAAACCCTGAAAGGTGTTTTCAAATATTATCAAAACAGTGTCGAAGATGTGCAATGAATAGACGAATGCAGAAAATAAAATGCCACCGCAGGGGCTAGGGTCACGAAGGCTTTAAATTGGCTCCAACATTTAAGTGTTATTTCTCAGTCCTTAATCGTACAAATTTCACAAGAAATAATAATATTAATTTAATTTTATCACTTTACATTACAAATTACGGAGTTATTACCACTACATTAAGTAATTGCCATTGACCGTTAACACGGTGGGTAAGGTTGTCCTGCGATAGAACGTTCTGTGCTGGTGATTCGGTCCTGACTGGTGCTGGTGGGTCCTGATTCTGTGCTGGTGGGTTTGTTTACATTGTACCAGAACGGCAATAAAACAACCGTTCTGTTGCTGAATTTTTCTCTGACACTTTCTACGTACCATGCGAGGAATGTTACAACGATTTTTTATTGAAAAAGTCGTGCAAATTTGCCAAACGAAATTGTCCTGACGATGTGCTAGTGATTAGAAAAACGGTCCTGGTTCTGTGCACCCATGTCCTGGTTCTGTGCCTTTATATTTTAGTTAAAAGTGGCAAATATTCAAGATTATTGATGCAGAAAATGTGTATAATTGATAGAAAATATACCTACCATATATTTGGTGGATATTTCATATAGCTAAGTTGAGTCTGTTTTTTATTATTTGAATTTTGAGAGGGGGTGCAAGATCTTTCTGTTGAGGTGTTTTGGCATTTTTAAACTTTTGTTAACTGTTATTTTGAAGATATATGTGCTGTTAACTGTTATTGACTAATTAGCTGTTATCTGTTTTCTAAAAATTGACATTGTTGTGAACTGTTATGAAAAAAAATACCCCTGGTAACTGTTTTTTTATTTTTGAATGCACTGTTTTCTCATTTAAGATGATTTAAAATGCTGTTAGCGGTTATCAATATTTCAAATTTATTGTAATCTGATTTGAGCAAAATAAAAAAAATATTAACCTGTTAATTGAACCCCTCTTGCCCGCTTTTGAGATAAGAAAATATGCATACGATTTGCGGGATTACGATCCTATTGCATGACCATCAAAATACGGTGTAAAATATCTAATACCTATAGAATAAAAAATTATCTCGTATTTTTGCCAATGGACAAATTTCCATCAGAAACCAAATGAGCTAGGTGTTTAAAACAACTATACGTCACCGTACGACCTTCAACAATGACCCGAAAGATCAAAATGTAAAAGGTTTTTCATAAAAATGGAGAGCATAAATATAGAATAAAGGACTTTTTTTCTAATAAAATTGAGAATGAAAATAGGGAATGTGTCAGAGACAACAACCCGACCAAAGAGCAGAAAACAGCCGACGGACACCAATGGGTCTTCAACACAGCGAGAAAATCCCGCACCCGGAGGCGGGCTTCATCTGGTCCCTAAATAAAATGTGTACCACTTCATTGAAAATGGACGTCACACTAAACTCCATAGCATATAAATGAACTAAAATTTAAAAACATACAAGACTAACAAAGGCAAGAGGCTCCTGACTTGGGACAGGCGCATACATGCGGCGGGGTTAAACATGCTTTTTGAGATCCCAACCATATACCGCTAGCCAATGTAGAATAAACAAACACACAGCAATACGCACAGTAAAACTCAGTTTAAAAGAAGTCCGAGTCCGTATAGAATAGGTAACTAAAGAAACTAAGCAAAATGACAATGATACATAAATTAACAAGGGACTACAAACAGTTACTCCCATGCCAGCTCCAGACCTCAATTAAACTGATTGAAAGATTATGTCTTCATCATATGAAAATCAAGCACATTGTCAACCTAAGTTGATCACGGCAAACTATCAGGTGAGTCTGAACATTTCTTAGATGAGTTTAGATAATACATTCAGTGTAGTCTAAGCATCCTGGATATTGTTTCTCTGACAAATTTGTACGATACTGTAGATACTTTTCTTTTTATTCAACCAAATGAATCTCAGCCTTGTTTCTGCGCGTAAGAATCATGTGTCCTCAGCAGCTAAAATCAGATTTCTTTGTAACAATTTAGTGTTTACTATAAGGATGACAATAATATTGCGGGTTTTTATTTGGAATATGGAAGAGGGAGGTCACGGTGAAAGTTATAAAGCTTGGAATAGTTTTGAAATTCTAAAATTGTTGATAAAAAATAATTTGATGCAGATAATCAAGAATGATTTTATTACTGCAGTTGATAATTTTACCATAAAAACATTTTTCAAGAGGGGAAGGGGGGTTCCCGTAAGTTTTAATAGTTGTACATTAAAAGAAAAATGTATCTATTAGCTATTAAGCATCATTTGCTGTACCTCTAAGCCTCTGGTCAACATAAAATTATTGTCTGATCGGTTGTCAGGGGGAATTTTCGAAAGTTCAATGAAACATTAAAAAAATATTTAAATATTTCATGGAAGGGCAGACTAGAATTTGTCAGAAAATGAAGACTAGATAACCTAGATAACACACACAAAAATAAGATTTTTTAAAGTTATGCATTTTAAAGATCCAAAAGTAAAGTCTGTTGTCAAGGATTTTTTATAAAGAATTAAGTGGGAGTAAGTGAACGGTGTCCTAATTTTCTATTTTTAAATATATTTCCTGAATAAAAAATAAAATATGCATAAATTTTAATTGAAAATGAGTGTACGAAAAAAAATACCAGACTAAGAAATACACTTTTAGTTAAATATTTGTAATAGCACGAAGCTTTTAATTTTTGTGTTTCAAACACACCTTCTTTGTTGTAATGACTCGTTACAAAGGTATTTCACTTCATCCATTTATTTCATTTTTTGATAAGTGAATTATTAGTATTATTATATTAACATGTAGCCTTAATATAAAGAAAAAAATCGAATCTAAAGCCAGATATATCAAACATTTTATTTTTATTTTATACGTTTTCAGGAAAAAACAATCAACTCAAACACGCCTTGAACGTAAAATGTGTACTCGACTGTCTCTTTAGTATAAGATAATTGCCCATTTTAAGACCCCTCCCCCCCCCCCCCAAAAAAAAAACTGTTGCCGGGGTCAGAGATGCAAATTAATGCTTTTTAAGATCAATATTTTATCTTTTCGTGCATGTCTTTTTTTTCCCTGCTGAATTTATACTTATGCATCTTAAAAACCAAAAGTATTTGCAACTACCGAGATCGGCTGTTTTGTTGAATGTGCAAAAATTACAATATCTCGTAGCTTCATACTACCAATTGAGTATAAACAAGTATATAAGATGCAAAAAATTTAAATTATACACCTACATTTAACTTTTAAAAGCCATATTAACAGTTTTCAACAATCCAAATACACAAACTTTACAAAACTTGATTTAATTTCAACTGGTTATCAACCCGTTTCGCTCTAAGCTCATCTGTATCAAGGAGCCGTGTGAGCTATTGACTTGGCCTCCGTAATTAAAAAAAATCTTCTCTGAAATTGCTTGACCAAATGTTACCAAATGAATTTTCCTGAGTGAATCTAGGAAAAACAATATTCATCAACAAACATGACCACTGTTTGTTAAAATATATTCGAGTTTTTAGTTTATATCGCAAAAGTGCAAGCAGTTAGCATGGTTAGAGCAAAACTTACCGAGTAAAAATATTCAACAGGCATCTGATTTATCTACCTTGCACTTTTCAGAAAATTCAGTTCAGATGCCGAAACTTGGTCCAGCAACATTTATCAGCAATACAAGATTTTGACCCACACAGTTTCCATTCAATACAAATATTCTTGTTGCAATGAATCATTTTAAATGCAAAAATACCAGTTGCAGCCTTCAGTTAGTTTATTTATATATGCATGTGTATAGATTATCAGGTTTTCTACACATTCATATCGTAAAATATCAACCGCGAGCCACAGTGTGAACCTTTTTGGCGAGGTGAGTGCAGCAAACGAGAGAAAAGGCTTCACATTGTGTCGAGCGGCAGATATATTACGATATCTATACGAAGAAAACCCGATTATCTGTTTTTTACGCTTGACGAAAACAAGCTTGATAACGTCTCCTCTCACATTGTGACGTCGCTGATAACTTCTCCTCAGACATTGTGACGTCGCTGATAATACCTGCTCTCGTTTCAAAGCCGTGATACGAGAATTACGGAGCGACTAAGCAGCTAGGGTGATATAGGCGTAGGGAAGGACGCTAAATATGAATATATGAAGGGAAGCAGGGTCACCAGGGTGTGAATTCCATGTCATCTGAAATTAATACTATGCATAGATCTAGAAATCGACAGATAATAATGACATTTAAAAAAAAATACTCTCTTGTATTCGAAGTTTTTGCAGTTTTGTTTTGTCTAAACAAATTGACACACAAAATGAATATAGTATTGTGGAATTTTTTAACTTAAAATGTTCGATACATTGGTAACACCGGTTACTAGGATAATAATCCTCTCACGTATGAATTGGGTAAAAAGATGGAAATGTGAAAGTTTACAGGCGGTAGGTGCAACAGGATACCGACAGCTCACATGGCTCGTCAGGGTGGGAGCTAAAAAGTGGATCAAAGTCCATGAAAATTTGATTTAAAACTTTTATTCATTCCAACAAATTATTGAGATTTTGTTGAGGATTTTACCATCTACGGCAAAAAGAAAACTTTCAGACTTTAATGCAAAGAAGGTTTAAAGTCTTTCGCCAAAGATACTATCAATTTCTTCGTATCCTATGTTAACCTCCATGCAATCTCCATCCCTTTATGATCAATAAATTGAACTGTAAAATACTACTTAGTATCTTCCACATGCCTTTATAATGTCTGATGTATAGATATTTATGACAATAACTGTTGTGAGCACAAGATTAACTGCGCAGTTTTAAAGTTTTGCTAAAACAAAAATTAAAATGTAAACTTAAGTTTTGCGAAATTTGTTTGATGTGTACCGATTGAGATTTTAATCTAAGAGAATATGGTTTATCTATTAGTTGAACTAGCTTTCAGTAGCTGCGAGTACTCGTGGTTCAATAATTTGTTTCTTTATGTTATTATTGTGTGTGCTAAGTGTTGTGTTGTTACACCACTGAACCAATGAAGGAGGAAAGGAGGAGGGGTTGGGTGGGGTGTGGAGCGCAAATAAACATTTTAAGCCCTGTCACGAGTGCCCAAAACCAGTGGTTGTCGATGCTTGCTATCTGTAATGTTTGTTTTTGTACAAAGTTGTATTTTAAATCAGGCCGAAGGTCTTCATTTTTTAATCGTTTACCGTGATTTTTATAGCTAGTATTCGTTATGGTTTTTGCTCGTTGTTGAAGGTCATACTTTGACTTGCAATTGTTCACATCTTGTTCCATTCTAGTAAGTTTTTATCAGTCATGTATGAAAAGCAAGTCTAGGTCGTTTTTTTTTATCCAGTCGAAATTTATTGGAGACAGTGTATATATCAAGGAAGAAATTAGAGGCATCAGTAGTAAGATCATCTAACCTCGTATATTTTACTGAAATAAACCAGTCAAACGTTTATTATCGTTATAATATAAATGTCGCTTAACCTTAAGCACCTTTTAAAACTGTTTTAGTTAGCATATTATGTAAAGAATCATCAATTTAAGGACATTTAATATCTTAAATAAAACTATTCTAATTAGATATATTTTCATCTGATATTGGACGGAAGATGTTGCCCTTTTATGTAATATAAGTTATTAAACAGAAAAATTGATGCACAAAAGTAAAAATAGGAGTCACAAATCCGAGTGAATACAATTATCTGCCCAATTTTATTGATTCTGTAACGTTTGTTTCAAATATAACCAGCTGTTTACCCAAAATCACCAGCACCGTATCAGGACCCACCAGCACAATGACAGGACCCACCAGCACAGAATCAGGACATGTCTAAACTGAGAAAATGCACAATTTTAATAAATTGCACAGGTTTTTCACAAAATAATTTTGTCGTGTGGGATTTTGGTATAGAAAGCGGACTCCAGGAGCATTTTTGTTTTATTTTTTCAGTTCTAGATTTTCTAAAAATGAGCACTTTTGTGTTACACTTACTGAAACAGTTTAGAGGGTCACATTTGTAATTGTTTGCCTATGAACCCATTAGAAACAAAATTAAAACATCTCAACTGTTTCCTTCCATTTTTTTATGCGAGAAAACGTCGAAATTCGTCATTTTCGATATTTTTAATGATCACCAGCACCAGTCAGGACCGAATCACCAGCACAGAACGTTTTCTCGCAGTACAACCTTACCCACCGTGGTTAAGCAAACAACAATCAACCAATCTGTAAATTAGATTAAGTGTTGTTAAACAGCAGTGTATTTAATTTTAGATATTGACGAATGTCAACCTGATCCATGTCAGAATGAAGGAAAATGTACAGATGCAATACATGGGTATTCCTGTGAATGTGTTCAAGGATATACAGGGAAAAATTGTTCCACAAGTAAGTTATTGATTTAGTATGTATACTTGAATGGCCAACTTTTTTTTACCTATTATGTCTGTTTGTTTTGTTAACACATTGATGTCAATTTAATGGAATTGTATGCAAGTGAGATGTTTTGCTAGCTATAAAACCAGGTTTAATCCACCATTTTCTACATAAAGAAATGCCTGTACTAGTCAGGAATATGACAGTTGTTAACCATTCGTTTGAAGTGTTTGAGCCTTTTATTTTGTCATTTGATAAGGGACTGTCCGATTTGTTGTTTTACCTTTTAATGCATTTTTTTTTATTTCGGTAAATTAAAAAAGAATCAAATGAAACCAAAGTGAGAATACATAGGTAGACGGCAGCACCATAATAAAGACCAAAATTGATGAACAGACAAATAACATGCTAAAAAACAGGTCATATATTGAATACATATCCAAATATGAAATTGATTACTCTCTCTCATATGATCCGAAGTTGTCTGAACGTTGGTACCATTTATGTTATTGATTGACTGAGGCGATACATCTGCTAATGGACTGTTACCCCCGAGGATATAACAAACCCAGTAGTTAGTCCTTCGGTACTGGCATGGAAATACGGATATTGTTTAAATGAAATTTGCCGTAAAAAATTTGGAAATCAGTATAAATTAAGGAATTGATCTCCTTCATGCATATTCCTGATTTCTTGTCAATGCTTGGTTTTACTTCAGGTCCATTTTTGTCTTAATAGCTCTGAAACGTTTGTATTAGAATTTGGATTCGAAATTATTTTTGGCCATGAGTATCCTCGAATAGACTTAAGATGTCGAAATGTGCATCTGCTGCATTTGAAATTGTGGCATCTGTGTTTTGTACACTTTGAGGGCTTTACTAGTTTATTTTTATCCCGGAATAATAAAAGAAATTTGTAAATGCATACAAATTGGTAAAAAAAAAACGAATGGAAAATACACAATTGTAATGCTGCAGTAAAATTAGTATGGGTAATGTTTTTGTACACTGTGAGTTTCATTTTTTTATTTTTCGTTTATGTTCTTAAATAGTAACAGGTTTTGTAAATACATACATATTGGCAGAATAAGATGCAAAATGTACAAATTGAATTCAAAAATACGGACAGGTGTTTACAAATGATCCCAATAACATTTTCCATTTGTTTGATATGTTTGAGCTTTTGATTTTGCCATTTGACAAGGGACATGCATTCCGTTTTGAATACTCCTTGGAGTTCGGTATTTTTTATTATTTTACTTTTTATAGATATGTGGTCAGTGTAGTTTTGGATTCCATTTAATAATCGTTCATTAAAACAAATTTACACCACATTTTTGGCGGGTTTGTGTTGCTCAGTGTTTAGTTTTCAATTTTTTACCATGGATATGGTATATTCTGTTTTTCATTGACAAATAACATTTCGTTGTCCTTTTTTGAACAACACTTTATTACATTGCAAATGAAAATGCTTTAATTACAGTCATACAATCGAACTTGCCTGTATTAAAAGAATTCTTTTTTGTTCTCAAAATATCGATTTGTTATTATTTTTATGTAAATTATATAAGATACCTATTGTTGTAATATTAATTTCCTCGTTCCATAGGACAAAGTTAAACAAAAGAAAAGTAACAAACTCCCGTATGTAAATAGTGTATCTTACTTCAGTTCTAGGGATATAACGGACGATTAAATCTCAAAGCCTAGGTTATATATTATTGGTATACAGATACAAATTCAATTTGTAAGCACACATAAACAATTAAAAAGCAGTACACGAGATAAATATGTTTCTAAGTTTTGATGAATTGTTTTTTTTTTATAATTTATTATTTTTCTTCATGAATTTACAGGTATCAACATATATTTATCTTGTGGTACAATAATCAAGCAAGTGAAATAAATAAGCATGATAAGCATTCTATGGACTAACACTATGAAATCTATGAATGAAGTATAGTAATAACATTTTCATTAATATAGTAATAATAGTAATAGTAGAGCAAGCATTTGGTATAACTACCAGTATACAAGTTCTTTCAAATACTCATATATATACACATATGTATATACATTAACCTAATTTAAATTTAATTAATGATCTTAGCCCAGGGGTTCCAGTACAAGTTGTGTTCTTCCATACTTAAATATTTTGAAGAAATATGTTTCTCTAAAATCAAGTTTTCTTTTATGTAATTTTGAAGACCTTTAATATGAGGTTTTATGTCTTGCATCTTACATCTGTAAATGAAATACTTTGTCAGTAAGATAACTTTATTTTTAATAAAATTCAATTTATAATTTTCATAGAGGCCAAAAATGACAATATTCAAATTTAGTGGAATTTCTATATGAACTATATCGAAAATCCAAGAATTTAGATTGTGCCAAATGTCGGCTACAATATGACAACCCCAAAGTAAATGTTCTATAGTTTCAAGCTCTTCCTTGCAAAATGTACACAAATTACAGTTAACAAGTTTCATTTTAAAGAGTAGAGCATTAGTCCCTAAGATATAATGAATAATTCTATATTGAAACCAACATAACCTAGTATTTTTTGAAACCTTGGTAACACACAAGTGTATTTTTTTCCAATTTTCTATAACTTTATTAAGAATACCTTCCCATTTTTTTTCTGCTACAAAATCTATAGGTAAAGTTCCTTGATTTAAAATAGTATACATGTCCTTTGAGCCCTTTTCGGACTTAAAGAAAATATTAATGTTGAAAGGTATAATAGCCTGATGTTTTTTCTCTCTTTCGGTGTTGATTCCAATGGCTTGTAGCCATTTTTTTAGTGCTAATATAAGCCCATAAAACTGTAGAAACATGGGTTTGAAATTATACATAATTTCAAAATTTTCATATGTTAATATATTTCCATGTTCATCTAACAGGTCATTTACAGTCCATACCCCATGATGTGACCAATTTTTATAGTAAACGCTGACGTTATCAATTTTAATATGTTCGTTATGCCATATAGATGTCGAAATGACTTCCTCAAAATGAAATGGATGTCTGAGTTTTGACATAATTTTCCAGGCATGAAAAACTTCATCCCAAAATTTGTTTTTTGATTTTTTAATAATTCCAAAATAAGCCAACTCTGTAAAATTTATATTTTGGGTGGAGGTTAATAATTGGATCCATTTGGATTTTGACTTAAATAATCTTCTAACCCAAGTAAGTTTTAACCCTTGTATAAAATGTCTCAAATTAATCATTTTTAGGCCCCCTCTAAAGTATTCTTGGCATAGAAGATCCCGCTTTATCTTGTCAGGCTTATCATCCCAAATGAATGAATAAATTTTACTATTAAGTTGACGTATCATATTATCATCTGGACCTGGGATGGACAGGAACAGATGATTTAATTTTGATATAATTAGTGACTTTATAATTGTTATTTTACCAAACGGGGTAAGTGACTGTTTTGACCATTTTTGTAATATTTTTTCTATTTCTTGTATTCGAGGAGCATAGTTTAGATTTAACATTCTATCTAAATCAACACAGAAAGTGATACCTAATAATTTGAAGGTACTGAAACCCCATTTCAGTCCCCACTTTACACATATTTTGTCTTGACTATGTCTTTTACTACCTATCCATATAACGTTTGTTTTGTCTAAATTAATTTTCAGTCCTGATATCTCAGCATAGAATTGTAATATACGGAGAGATGCATCCAGTGAGGAAGGCGACCCATCTAAAATAAGTGATGTGTCGTCTGCATATTGAGACAAGATATACTCTGAATCATCTATCGTAATACCCTTTATCTCATCACTACTTCTTACTAAAATGCCTAATATTTCAGCACATAGCAAGAAAAGGTAAGGAGACAAAGATCCCCCTGTCTACAGCCTCTCTCCACACGGAAAAAGTCTGACAGACAGCAGTTCTGGGTGACAGTAGATGTAATATCATTATAAAATGTTTTTATCCAGTTCATAATAGAGTCTCCAAAATTAAAATACTTCAGTGTTTCAAAGAGAAAGGCCCATGATATAGAGTCAAAGGCCTTCTCAAAATCAATGAGTAATAATATACCAGGGATATCATTTTCTTCTGTAAAGTGTAAAATATCATATATAAGTCTACAGTTCTCCCCAATAAATCTACCCGGGATAAAGCCTGTTTGATCAGAGTCAATAATTCTGTTTAGAACTGACTTTATCCTCTCAGCTATACAACTAGAAGCTAGTTTGTATGTTGAATTCAAAAGTGTAATTGGACGCCAATTTTTTAAGAACTGTTTTGACTTGCCTTCTTTTGGAATACATGTGATAACTCCCTGCCTCTGTGTGACAGACATTTCCCCTATCTGATATGAATAATTTATTGACCTCAAGACAAACTTTCCAATGTCTATCCAAAATACTTTAAAAAATTCTGCAGTAAAACCATCTGACCCAGGACTTTTATTATTTTTCATCCTTTTCAAAGCTTGTGTTAATTCAGTAAAAAAAATGTTACCTTCTAATGATTCTTTTTCGATATCATTTAATTTAGATGTCAAAGATGGTAATTCCCTTGATAAGTTTACTTTTTTAAGACATTCTTGTCTTTTGTAAAGTTTCTCATAAAATATTTTTGATTGTTTTAAGATTTCTTTTTGATTTTCTACTACAGTATTTTCATCAGTAACTAGTTTTTTAATAGTTTTATTGACAAAGTTTTGTGTTTCTAAATTACAAAAAAAATTAGTGGGCCTCTCTCCTTCTTCAATCCATTGGGTTCTTGACCTAACATATTGACCTTTAACCTTGTTCTGTCTCAAAATTCTAAGTTGACATTTTTTGGCTTCTATTTCATCAAGAGTGTCCTCTGTACTTACCTTATTTTCTAAATTTTGTATCTCCTCAGTCAGTTGGATTTCCTGTTTTGTCCTTTCTCTTTTTATAAATGTTGAATAAGAAATAGTCTCACCTCTAATCTCAAGGAGAAGGGTCTCCAAAAATAATTGGTCATTAATTGAAAATTCAATATCCAAAGTATCAA